TTATTGTTATTGTTATGCGTATACTATCACAAATCACGAAATTAAATGGGTATTTAGGTCCCACTATAAAGTCAAAAAGTTTCAGTACAAAGGCTTGTCGTGATCGATTTGGAACTTACAGTCGAATCTCCGATATGGCACCTGATACTTCGATATGGACCGGTCAGTGTAAACTGCAGGCTGCGGACTGGAGACCACGGACTTTTTAAGTATATATCGACGGTGTTATTTCCATTATCGATTTCTAACCGGAAACAGGGTTATTCAGGCTAATCGCAGTGAGAGTTTGCAATGCTCCGGTTAGCCTGAATATCACTCAGGTTAACTTAAATAACGCTCCGGTTTGCCTGTTCACGGTTAGCTCTCAATGATGGAAACGGTAACACAACTCAGTTAAAAAGTCTACAGTCTGCATTTTAGCCCTGGTCTGCAGTCTGCATTTTTACCCTCAGTCTGCATTTTACCCCAGTCCGCAGTCTGCAATCTGCAGTCCGCAGTCCTCATTGTTACACTAACCGGATATCGACTGTTCCATCCGCAACTGACCTTCTCTTCCTGATACCATGAGAACTGAAAAACCTTTTTACACTGAGCAAACTACTGTGCAGCCCCTTAGATTCGGGTAACGGTTCTTGATTACCTCGAGAACGTTTTCATAACAATTATTCTCCTCAGTAAGAAAACGGCGGACAAAGACTTCATCAAGGATGTGGTTTCTAGGTCTATTGTTAGCGACAGGAAGTGTCAATATTCTTCCGACTCAGGTAACATAAGAAAGTGACAAAAACACAGAAACGAAAAACGAGAATCGAAGTTCAAATTCTGTTTTTCGATATCTTATAAAAAACGAAAGACGAAAAAAGGAAATGACAATTAGAATATTATTTTAAAATATTGAAGGACCGTAACCAGGGTTGAGCATAATAAAAATTTTAAAAACGATCTGTGGCTAAAAATGTTTACAGATATACGAGCTGTCGACTGTTAGATCTACAGTCTTCGACGGGTAAAGATGAATGACGAAATATGAATATAAATGAGTAAAAATAAAAAGAATGGACTATGTAAATTAATTATGAATGTGTGTAAAAAGAATGTTGTATTGCCCAGGGAGTGGGCAGGAATTGTCGACAGCATTTGGAGTCACCGTAGTATACCACGATTCTAATGTTTTCCTTATTCGGAAACTGCCTTTATCAATTAAGGAGGCGCTGTTAAAGTCAATAGAATGTTCATGGGATCACGCATGGTTCGCAATTTTGGAGCCTTTAGCCGCTGTTTTGACATTTCTTATGTGTTCTTTTCTTCGGGTGTTACACGCTCCTCCAGTTTCACCGATATAACACCATGAACAGTCGGCGNATGTGTGTAAAAAGAATGTTGTATTGCCCAGGGAGTGGGCAGGAATTGTTGACAGCATTTGGAGTCACCAAAGTATGCCACGATTCTAATGTTTTCCTTATTCGGAAACTGCCTTTGTCAATTAAGGAGGTGTTGTTAAAGTCAATAGAATGTTCATGGGACCACGCATGGTTCGCAATTTTGGAGCCTTTAGCCGCTGTTTTGACATTTCTTATGCGTTCTTTTCTTCGGGTGTTAAACGCTCTGCTAGTTATCGTAGAATTTGGTTCTTATCATACTAACAACGTCTAAGCCTTTTTCATACATCCCTGCCCGCTAGTACATTCGAAACTAATCGTAAACCAGCTCTGATTTTTTATCCATCAATTTAATCAAGTTTGAGTCCAAGCAAAGCACGTACCGTGGCTTTTGTGTACGGAACTATTTCGGGTCGCTTATACGTGTAGGCGCTACCACCAATCGTTACATATAGCATGTATAAACTCGGCGCGCCCTCGCCACACTTACCTGTTGTAGTCATGCCAATGACATCAGCCTTCTTGAGTATCTCCAAGTCTAATCTGCTTTTAACTGTCTTCAGGTCTTCAACACCCCATTGAAATACCTGCTGGAGTGATGTAGTTGTGAAACGGCAACGCTTACGCGCGTCCATCAGCCATCGCCGATACAAACTCCAGCGGTCTTTCAGGCTCAACTTCCAAACATCTGTTACCTGAATTGAACAATGGAAAAAAAAATCAGGCAGTTAAAACAAGTTACTTTAAGTAGCTCAATAATCAAATCTGTGACTATTGGAATTTATGGCTAGGGTAACGGAGGATTATCTGCCTAACCATTTACGATTTCTCAGTATGCTTAGCTTCCAGTAGCTGTACAGTTTTTAACAATTTTATTAATAAGGAGTTTAAGAAAACCACGACAGCAACGGGAACGTCGCTAAACAAAAGGTTTAATGAGCAAAACAATGGCTGTGCACGTACATAACAATTCTTGGCACATTTCTTTGCCGTCCTGTGCAAAACAACAACGTGAAATGATCGAATTCTGCGTTGTGTAGGGAACGTGAACTACAACGGATAATTTTTAAAATTTATACTTTGAATTTTGTGCCGTGTTCCATGACCAGTTTCGCGGTAGTTTTGACAAAGAGAAACAAACTAAATAACTTAAGAGTATCGCGAGATTCGTGGGTAAAATATAAAGTCATTATTTAAACGACGTTGTCCTCGGCGTCGCCGTCGTAGCTTCTTATAACTCCATAATTCCTCGCCACTAAAACTTCCCATGTAATCCTCTAATAAGCATGTACATATGGGTTATTTACCAAGCTTGTTCGGTCAAGATGGCTTAATATTGGCCAAGTTCTTCTTTTACGTGTTTACAAATACACGACTAAAGAACGATTTATACTGTATTGTATTGTATATGGTAAAGCAAGGTAATCAAAACATTTCTGTTGGTTAGTTCCTCGATCAGTAGACAAGTAAACAACTAATGTGTTTTGTGCACGGTCAAGACCAAAAAAGAGAACAAAAACATACAACAAAGAACTTTGTCGAGTTTCATAACCATTCCCCTCTATTAACTATGATTTAACATAGGACATTTAGTAAGCGCCATAGTCTTACCGTTGCTGCTCTCTCATCTAGCATGACTTCTGTTTTGTTCAGTTCCTGACGCATGATCTTCTCTAACTTCCATTTTAGCCGATAAGGTTTTTGTACTTTCCATTCACTCGCACCTTTCTCGTTAGAAACAATAACACTCGCGACACTCATTTCCTCTGCTTTACGCGCTGTCTTTGATTTGTACACTATGACGTCATCATCGTCCAGGTTTCTTTGGTTCTGCATAACATTCGCTTCGTACAGCACATCCGGGTTCTCATTTCCATCTATCTCTCCCTCCTCTGCTTCGGCTACTTCTATTCTTGTTACTGGGACCGCTTCCGCAACTGTACCATCTCCCTCTTGATGAACAACCAAACAAATGATAATAAATAAGATCACTTTAGCACTCTCCATCAAATGGAACCTGGAATTGCTGTTATTCTGTGGTTTCTGCATGAAATATCGCTTGATAAATCCTTCGGGAATTTATTTTTTTTCCACTTTCGGCTGCAAAATGTAACGTGTTTCGTCTGTCTTAGGTCGAAACTACCTTGTGAGATGGGTATTTTCAATAAACGTGTTTCGAGCAACGCATTTGCGCAACGCACCGCCTGATAGTAAGCGTTCTCGAAGTGAAACATGTTTGATTCCTGATCAGACTAAACATGTGTTTCTGCCATGAGTGAGCATGCGCGCACAGTAAGAGAATAATGCAGAAAACTTACTTAAAACCCTAAATTAGCAAAGCAATGGTTAGCAGTTTGTCCCCAAGGCACCCACTTTTACTAGCTAAGATAAAGTAGATTCCCAACTTAAGACAGACCCTAAATGATGATATCAATCAGGGCTTCGTCATTCTTTCTCAGTAATTCTGGATTTCGATGGAGGAAGGAACGTTTTCACTGACCATTTCAGCCCTAGCTAGTAGTGAGACAGAAAGAACGCTCATTATCTGCTGTATCTATAACTATTCATTACCTCCTTGACTTGGATTTACAGACAGTTGTAGCCAGTGCATTATAGCACTCTCCTCCTCTTGTCCGTCTTTATCAATAAACGGCTGCTTTAAAGAATGATACTGGGCAGCAGTCATACTCCGTGCGCGATAACGTAACTGGTCTTCATGAAGTACGTTTTCTTGGCATTGGTCTAAAGTTTGGTTTTCATTTTCTAGCTCTTTTAAAATCCCTTCCATCACCTTATGAACCTCGGAAAGATCCTTTCTTATGTTGCGGGGAACTGATTTGTCCTGCCAAGCAAAGCGTAGGACATATCTCACGAAATGAACAGGACGCTACGATAGCGACAAATTTAAGAAAATGTCACTTGACGATTTAAGAAAATGTCACTTAAGTGGTCTGGGACCTACCTATCTTGCAAACCTCTTTAAATATAGGCATACACCGTATGGGCCAGGAGGAGAGGGATCGATTTTGGAATTACCTAATTTTAATCTTAAATTTAAATGACTTCATAAGTAAATTACAAGATTGTAGCTTTGTAGAACGTGTCTTATAGCTTCTCTGTCACGTTTGAGCTATTATATAGTTTTTTCCTTTTTTTTCTCTTTTTTGTAAGGCTTAGCAATTTATATATTATGTATTTATTACTAATTTTTATATATCTATTAAGTTGTTTTAAAATAGAATAACATTGTTAGCTAGAATATAATAATATTATTAGCTGTTGTTACTATAGTTCTCATTTATATACGTTCGTATTTTGACCGAGTACTTAGCTCCTCGACGAAACGTGTTAAAATAAATGATTGACTGATTGACTGACTGACTGACTGACTGACTGACTGACTGACTGACTGATTGATCGATCGATCGATTGATTTGTCTCAAATAGTTACCTCCACCCCAATTCAGTGTTGAGCGGGCTCTATAGTCTCCGTAGTCTCATGCTCAGAGATAGCACTAACGTCATTATACTAAGGCATGAAGATTGGTTGCTTAAACCGACATGAAAAGTATTATCACCGTTCAGTCTTCTCATATAGCAATTCCTTTGGAACCTTCCGTTATAATTGACCTCTATTTGTAAGACTGTCTAGATATGTCTTCTTTCATCAAACTTTAAAAGTGAAACCTCACCTTGCGCATTTTGTGCTTCAATTCCGACAGACTGCATGCCTTCAAAATCTCGCTCTCACTCCTTCCTCCGACTCGAACAATTCCTTCAGGATGGAACTGATGGATTCCTTCCAGGAACTGATCGAGAGCGTGGTTTGTGTAACAGACAACTAGGATTGGGCGATGCTTTGTGCCGTAGAAACGGACATTCTCAGTGTTCCACTTCATCTTATTATGTAATAACACACTAGCAATTTGTAAGAAACGAATGAAATTTCTTATTGATGTGCTGCTGCTATGCAGCTCTATTAAGGTTCTTTACCATCTCTTTTCAACAGCTATCTTTCAGTCATCATAACATCTTTTTCCACTAGTCTAAAGCTAATGCAAATGATAGACATGATAGTGTGGCACATTACCAGTCATTAGAAGAATTCTATTTATTCTACTTATGCAACTGCTACAATCTGATTGGCTAAATCATGACATATTATCAACCATTAGTGTGCAGTAGCTTGTGAAGATCTAGAAAAAGGCGATATTTTGTTGTTCCTCAAAAATTTCGGAGGTATATTATTGAATGATCGGATTGATGAGCGCAAGTACACGACTTGCCAGTCCCAACGAAATTCAGCCGCAAGCGTTTACACCTAAGCGCCGATGAAGTTTAAGAGTACTTAATTAAAACATAGATGACTTATTGGAAATTACTATTATTCATTTGAAAGAAGTTTGGTTAAACATTATTCACGCTCGATTTCTATTCTTTCTCTGTATTTCTAATAACAACTATAACTTCGAAATTTTGAGCTTATAATCGTTGAACAGAAACAAGATCCTTGCATTCTGTCGTTTAGGGTAACGAGATGAGATTTCATGTTTCTTTAAAATTAAACTCGTATCATTAAACTATTAGATCACCTTCAACCCAATGTACGTCTTTCCAGTCCCCGGGGGTCCTTGAATAACAGCGAATTCTTTGGTCAGCGCCATCTGCAAAGCCCTGAACTGAGAATCATCAAGACCCAGATCTTGCGCAGAAGGCCAGGAGACCAAGGTTAGAAGAGGGATCGACGAGCTTTAAAACAAAAATGTTGGTCATGCATGAGTTTATTTTACATGTTTTCGATTTTCCAGCAATAATAAGAACATACAGTATCACTGTTATCTAAGGATGTCCACAAGGTGTTGGACACCTCTCAACTGAGTTGCTCGAAACTTGTCAAAATGTTGCTTATAAGTCGCTCAAAAAATGCTCTCCTAACGAAAGTTGTTCTTTGTTCTTTGTTCTTTGTTCTTTAGTTAGATAAATGTCATGCTAGTTACCCTCTGTAAGTATCAAAACTTTCTAAGCATTTTCGGATGTAACTTTAACGCAACCGGTGCTAAACAATTTATCCCATAATTGCAACAAAAGTTTATTTAAGTAATGATCCAGATCGGAACTGTCGCATTTTCTATTGTTCTGCTGCAATGCGCTTTCCCCACATTGAAACGGTTGTGCTTTCATACGAAGAATGTATCAACCGATGGAAAGCAGGTTTATGAAATAAAATGTATTTAAACTCTATTTTGAAAGGTAGTTTCCTTTGTGTTTCCATTTCAACCAATCACAAGAGTCGTAAACAAAGACAATAAAAGCTTCCAATTTTCCAGTGTTCCCCACATAGGATTACTGTGGTATTTAGACTCGGAAGAAATTTTGTTGGAAGGAAGACAGTTGATCAATTACGGATAAGCATATATAGAGCTACCTGAAGTTTTGTTAGACTTTGCTGATTGAGCCAATCAGAAGTATGATACAACAATAGCAGAGTTGCACAAAAGTTAGCACCTTTTTGCATTCCTTGCCGCGTGGTGCTTTCCTTCTTATATGGACCGTTACTTAATTACATAAACTAAGCGCATCATAAGAGTCTTGTTCCATGAGAACAATTGCATCGTATCGGTTACATGTACATTGAGCGTGATAGAGACTGAATCCTTTCCATGTAAAGATTCCAATGATATCACGTTTGCTGAGGTTTTGCTTAATGAGTGAAAACCCCTTGAAACTAAGTCAAGGGATTTTCGGACATTCCTCAGAAGTCTTCCTAAAAATTCTAAAATGTTTGGACATTTCTATTCTAGGAGAGATTCTATAATGCATATATTTCTAGAGAGTGATGTCTCTATTTCAGCATTTTCAAGTACCATAAAGTGGTTTAAAGATATACACAAATTAAATGTGAGTCCTTCTGCTGAACAGATTTTATTCAACTTGACTGATGAAATAGCTTCGTTGACCTCCATCCAAAAGCGCAGACTGGATCTTCTCTTGCTTCTCATGAAACACCATGTCTATTCCTGTAAGATTTTTCCTAAGAACCCCAATATTTCTGAACTTCAAACCAAACTCCAAATGCAATGGAAAACCGANCGTAACTGGTCTTCATGAAGTACGTTTTCTTGGCATTGGTCTAAAGTTTGGTTTTCATTTTCTAGCTCTTTTAAAATCCCTTCCATCACCTTATGAACCTCGGAAAGATCCTTTCTTATGTTGCGGGGAACTGATTTGTCCTGCCAAGCAAAGCGTAGGACATATCTCACGAAATGAACAGGACGCTACGATAGCGACAAATTTAAGAAAATGTCACTTGACGATTTAAGAAAATGTCACTTAAGTGGTCTGGGACCTACCTATCTTGCAAACCTCTTTAAATATAGGCATACACCGTATGGGCCAGGAGGAGAGGGATCGATTTTGGAATTACCTAATTTTAATCTTAAATTTAAATGACTTCATAAGTAAATTACAAGATTGTAGCTTTGTAGAACGTGTCTTATAGCTTCTCTGTCACGTTTGAGCTATTATATAGTTTTTTCCTTTTTTTTCTCTTTTTTGTAAGGCTTAGCAATTTATATATTATGTATTTATTACTAATTTTTATATATCTATTAAGTTGTTTTAAAATAGAATAACATTGTTAGCTAGAATATAATAATATTATTAGCTGTTGTTACTATAGTTCTCATTTATATACGTTCGTATTTTGACCGAGTACTTAGCTCCTCGACGAAACGTGTTAAAATAAATGATTGACTGATTGACTGACTGACTGACTGACTGACTGACTGACTGACTGACTGATTGATCGATCGATCGATTGATTTGTCTCAAATAGTTACCTCCACCCCAATTCAGTGTTGAGCGGGCTCTATAGTCTCCGTAGTCTCATGCTCAGAGATAGCACTAACGTCATTATACTAAGGCATGAAGATTGGTTGCTTAAACCGACATGAAAAGTATTATCACCGTTCAGTCTTCTCATATAGCAATTCCTTTGGAACCTTCCGTTATAATTGACCTCTATTTGTAAGACTGTCTAGATATGTCTTCTTTCATCAAACTTTAAAAGTGAAACCTCACCTTGCGCATTTTGTGCTTCAATTCCGACAGACTGCATGCCTTCAAAATCTCGCTCTCACTCCTTCCTCCGACTCGAACAATTCCTTCAGGATGGAACTGATGGATTCCTTCCAGGAACTGATCGAGAGCGTGGTTTGTGTAACAGACAACTAGGATTGGGCGATGCTTTGTGCCGTAGAAACGGACATTCTCAGTGTTCCACTTCATCTTATTATGTAATAACACACTAGCAATTTGTAAGAAACGAATGAAATTTCTTATTGATGTGCTGCTGCTATGCAGCTCTATTAAGGTTCTTTACCATCTCTTTTCAACAGCTATCTTTCAGTCATCATAACATCTTTTTCCACTAGTCTAAAGCTAATGCAAATGATAGACATGATAGTGTGGCACATTACCAGTCATTAGAAGAATTCTATTTATTCTACTTATGCAACTGCTACAATCTGATTGGCTAAATCATGACATATTATCAACCATTAGTGTGCAGTAGCTTGTGAAGATCTAGAAAAAGGCGATATTTTGTTGTTCCTCAAAAATTTCGGAGGTATATTATTGAATGATCGGATTGATGAGCGCAAGTACACGACTTGCCAGTCCCAACGAAATTCAGCCGCAAGCGTTTACACCTAAGCGCCGATGAAGTTTAAGAGTACTTAATTAAAACATAGATGACTTATTGGAAATTACTATTATTCATTTGAAAGAAGTTTGGTTAAACATTATTCACGCTCGATTTCTATTCTTTCTCTGTATTTCTAATAACAACTATAACTTCGAAATTTTGAGCTTATAATCGTTGAACAGAAACAAGATCCTTGCATTCTGTCGTTTAGGGTAACGAGATGAGATTTCATGTTTCTTTAAAATTAAACTCGTATCATTAAACTATTAGATCACCTTCAACCCAATGTACGTCTTTCCAGTCCCCGGGGGTCCTTGAATAACAGCGAATTCTTTGGTCAGCGCCATCTGCAAAGCCCTGAACTGAGAATCATCAAGACCCAGATCTTGCGCAGAAGGCCAGGAGACCAAGGTTAGAAGAGGGATCGACGAGCTTTAAAACAAAAATGTTGGTCATGCATGAGTTTATTTTACATGTTTTCGATTTTCCAGCAATAATAAGAACATACAGTATCACTGTTATCTAAGGATGTCCACAAGGTGTTGGACACCTCTCAACTGAGTTGCTCGAAACTTGTCAAAATGTTGCTTATAAGTCGCTCAAAAAATGCTCTCCTAACGAAAGTTGTTCTTTGTTCTTTGTTCTTTGTTCTTTAGTTAGATAAATGTCATGCTAGTTACCCTCTGTAAGTATCAAAACTTTCTAAGCATTTTCGGATGTAACTTTAACGCAACCGGTGCTAAACAATTTATCCCATAATTGCAACAAAAGTTTATTTAAGTAATGATCCAGATCGGAACTGTCGCATTTTCTATTGTTCTGCTGCAATGCGCTTTCCCCACATTGAAACGGTTGTGCTTTCATACGAAGAATGTATCAACCGATGGAAAGCAGGTTTATGAAATAAAATGTATTTAAACTCTATTTTGAAAGGTAGTTTCCTTTGTGTTTCCATTTCAACCAATCACAAGAGTCGTAAACAAAGACAATAAAAGCTTCCAATTTTCCAGTGTTCCCCACATAGGATTACTGTGGTATTTAGACTCGGAAGAAATTTTGTTGGAAGGAAGACAGTTGATCAATTACGGATAAGCATATATAGAGCTACCTGAAGTTTTGTTAGACTTTGCTGATTGAGCCAATCAGAAGTATGATACAACAATAGCAGAGTTGCACAAAAGTTAGCACCTTTTTGCATTCCTTGCCGCGTGGTGCTTTCCTTCTTATATGGACCGTTACTTAATTACATAAACTAAGCGCATCATAAGAGTCTTGTTCCATGAGAACAATTGCATCGTATCGGTTACATGTACATTGAGCGTGATAGAGACTGAATCCTTTCCATGTAAAGATTCCAATGATATCACGTTTGCTGAGGTTTTGCTTAATGAGTGAAAACCCCTTGAAACTAAGTCAAGGGATTTTCGGACATTCCTCAGAAGTCTTCCTAAAAATTCTAAAATGTTTGGACATTTCTATTCTAGGAGAGATTCTATAATGCATATATTTCTAGAGAGTGATGTCTCTATTTCAGCATTTTCAAGTACCATAAAGTGGTTTAAAGATATACACAAATTAAATGTGAGTCCTTCTGCTGAACAGATTTTATTCAACTTGACTGATGAAATAGCTTCGTTGACCTCCATCCAAAAGCGCAGACTGGATCTTCTCTTGCTTCTAATGAAACACTATGTGTATTCCTGTAAGATTTTTTCTAAGAACCCCAATATTTCTGAACTTCAAACCAAACTCCAAATGCAATGGAAAATCGAGCATTGCTCAATGACTTGATTTTGCAATTCTCCCCCTCAATACAGCTTGACCTGTATAATGCAATAATGGAAATATGCTTTTTGTCAAGGTTTAAAAGTTTTAAGTAGCATTAGAAATTGAATTTTATTCCAAGTGGCTTTAGTAATCGTAGCGTAAGTAATGCTAATTAGTATCGTTAAGCAATTTGAGTTATCGTATTGTATTGTATGTAATGTGTGTACTGCATTGTAAATTACAGTGAATACGAAGTATAATAAATAACGTAAGTATATCTATTAGTCTTGTAAGTAGCGTAGCTGTGTAAGTATCGTAACCAGCGTGTGTAACAATGCATAATAAAAAAAAATGTTTGGAAGTATTCGCATGGTCTTCGGAAAACGTATCGTGTACATAACTACATGGTAAGACCACTATTAACACTAAATGCTGCTCCTGTTTCGTTTTTCGTCGGTAACATCACCGAGTAATCTAGCTCGCGCTTGCTACGTAATACAATATTATGACGTCAGAATTTCTAGTTCCAATAGCATCTCAAGGAAAACAAAACAAAGAGACTGTCTAAGACACTTGTGGTGCTGATACTGTTATATGAATGCGAGACGTGGAAAATGAACAATGAACGAAGCAATAGATGTATTCCACAACAAGTGCCTACAAAAGATCCTACGAATTAAATGGCAAGATCATGTCGGTAAGATCGGAAAGATTGGAAAGATCGAGCCAGCATGAAACCGCTGAGTAAGGAAGTAAAATATCGTAGATTGGACTGATTGGTTACATCCTGAGGCAAGATCGCAATAATGATTGTAACATCGCAGTAACCTGGGCGCCAGAAGGGAAAAGGAGAAGGGGAAGGCCCAACACAACATAGAGACGAACAGTAGAAAAGGAACCGAAAAAGGCAGGGTGGAACCCAAGGGAGGAAGCGAGGACGATCACAGCAGACCGAGAAAAGTGGAGGACCTCGGCTGTGAAGGCCCTACGTGCCACGAGGCACGAGGAGGATAGGTAACAGGTAACTGGTAACATTGGTGCAGGATTTATGTCACTCTTAAAATATTTGACTTACATATACCTTTTCCTTCTTTAACGTTTAAGCCTGCCAACCGTAATCACACAGATAACAGAAAAATGTAAAAAATGTAGTGCCATTTCAATGTCAATTCTGTCACAATGGCTTCCAGTTGTGTGTGTTTTCGCTAAAAGATGAAACCAAGCAAGGTATCATTTTCGTTTGCAATACCTTCGTGCAGTAGTGTAGCTATTCTTCCTCATAATGGGTGTCAGATCAAATGTCACTTGTTCTTGGTTCCCTCTAGGGTTTCTCAAGTAGGCGGGTGGTTCGACTTCTTTCTGGCAGTTTACGATGTAATTCTATTTTTGTTAAAGAACAAAAGCTGTCTTTAATAACAATCATGATCAGGTGACAATGTTCTCTAGATGGCGTAAAGGTCTGTGTTGAAATAAATGTTTGCCAGCAAAAAAGCACAAAATTGATCTTATTGCGTTTATCCTAATCAGTGATTAATGCAATTGATTACATTTTCTTTACTTAGTGATAAATTCAATAAAGAAGCCATGAGAACAACAAAGAACATTATCATCGGATGCATTTTTTTCTTCCTTTGCATTGGCCGACAGCCGACCACGTGACCTGAAAATAATCGCCTACAAATAATGGTCGGCTCATGCATAATACCGTCTAAATGCGTTTTGCTGCAAATAATATTCTGCTCATGCGTAATTGTAACCACTCTCTGGTGTGAAAAATGACAGTGCACTTCCCTGAAGTACAGAGAACAGAGAGTGATTTAATTATGAAAACAACCTTGGTGATCGAACGATAAAACAATTATTGAACTCGGTTATCGCAAAATAGCGTGATATGTCAGTATCTCGCAGATCATTTATTTGCCTCGGCCCACGGCTTCGGCAAATGATTGATCTGCTCGTCATTACGTGACAAATCACGATAGTTTGCTCGATCTCGTCCAGTAATTGTTAATTATTATCTCAACGCTATCTACAAGCAAACTATGCTCATTTGGAGAAGTCCGAGTATAAAGCACGAAAAAGGCCGATCTTCCGTCACCTGCATAGGTAGGTATCCTGGATAAATTTCTTTCAGTCCCTCTAGCACGTGACGATAAGCTTCAAAGAAGGCAGTGCTCTCCACCATCTGATACACATCACCTTCTTCAAAACTCTCTTGATCGTATACGTTGATGAACTGTACGTCCACTACGCCCTGCAGCCGAGAAGAATAATTGCCACTCTTTAACCAAATATTAGGTACGTTATCATTTCGGTAGTTTTGCTCTAAAAGCCATGGTACCTCCTACAAAGTCAAATTTGAACCGTTTGCAGGCTTGCTACTTTGTGGATTTAATGGTTCTGCAAACAGTGCATGCGTCAAAATCTCAGGTAAACAAATTTTACTACAGAGAATACTGATATGTAATAATTTACCTGTAGAATCTGAGTAAAAATGAACGCTATTCTTATCCGTATTGCTGTATGAAATACGTAGATTGTTAAGTCAAAATCCGATAGGGGACCGAGCAATTTTGGTTTTCCGTGGACAAAAACCTAGTACCAGAATAATTTTAAGTATATTACAAACCCTTTTGCATTTTATAAAAGCTAAAGATATAAATAGTAGTCTGAAATAACACCAAAGACAATTTCCCATGGAATCTCGGGAAAATAAATTTTAAAAATCAGAGCCTCAACATCACTTTCATTTTACTAGTACTTTCAAGGATTTCCTGTGAACTTCAAAATTTGTTTTCGACATTTGGTGTTGCTAGAAATAATTTCTTTTGAGAAGATATTTAAAACAGTCGCACAGAAGTTTGTTATCAAATAATCTTGGTGCAAAGCTTTTTTCCACTTGTTGTTCGAACTTCTGGTGGATTCCAGAGTGGCTGATTAACATCTGAACTTGAGAATGGCCACGGAATGTCTTGGTTATGTATCATTTTTGCAGTTCTCAGCTAGGAGTGAAAGCGTCAATTCTCAGCTGAGGTTAACATTTTAACTGATTCTTAGCTTTACGTTACAGACTGTAAACCCCATACATACCCTGTAAGCAGTAATAGCGCTAGCTAGCTGTTAAAATTATTTTACGATCGAGATTAAATGCTCACCGTCTCTCAACCTTATCAAGTATTTATGTTGAACTTACTCTTCTTATGGCTGCGAGAGATCGGTCGGCCACTGTGGCGAGCATAAAACTCTCAAACCTGTCCCTGGACAAACAAATCAATGAACCAAAGATGAGTCGTTTGCTGTTTTCCCAGTGCACATGCCTGAGCTTGGAGTTGTCAAAACTGATTCTGTATCGGAGACCGTTGGACGTATATATAGGTTCTAAAACAGAGACGTTGTTGTACACCCGTATGTCCTGAATATCACTCAACTCGGCGGTACCATTACGCTCCAACAACTGCGCAATCCCTTGCCGAAGGGGTCGCACGAAGTCTTCTTGAAGAAGTCGAAATTGTACGTCCAAATAATGTTCCACGTCATTGTAGCTCCCATCGATTTTGTTCTTCCTGAGGAAGGGCCGTCCTTCATGCAAGATGTCTTCCTGGGTTGGAACAACAGAGAGCCAGCGGAAATTATCCGGTGGATCTACATCATCGTTAACTCCAGCTAAAAAGTGCAGATATTTTTTTGTCAGTGCACGAGTGAAAGTTCGATTTTTCTATTGTTGGATTACACTGTCACGCCATCAAAAAAAATAATCGTGATCATTTAATAAATTAAGTCACGAATCCCGAATACAATAGATGATTGATACATAAACAACCTCGCCAAAATTTAGGTCCGTGCGGTCTTTCATGTGCGTGTTATTCGGAAAGTGTTTCACCCGAATTTACAAACTAGCTTTGCATGGAGACGCCATGTTGGTGCCCCTCGCTCCAAGGGACACCAACATGTTAATTTTTGATTTTGGAAAATGACGACCTCACATGAAAACCGACAATTAGTAGATAAGAAATAAAATCAAAGGGAATGCGCCCTATACGCCATTATATCTCACCATCTCTTCGAGGCTTCGTTCTTTTTCGTCGTTCTTCTTCCTCCTTCTTCTTTAACTCCTCAGCTTTCTTGATTCTCAATTTCATTATTTCATCCACCTCTGTGACAAGGGCATCATCTGCCAACTGTCCCGTGTTAGACAGCCTCATAGTTCCACAGTACAGGTCGGAGAGCGGAAGATCAGCATAACAGCTCGGAAATCTTCGGAGCAATTCGTTCATTATTTTGACAACATTTCTCAGAAATACTACGACATCGAGAGGAGACGAGTTGTGAACAGATAGCTTGTTCAGATATCGTCTGAGCAGCAAATTGAGAAACGACGACCCTGGTAGCAGAGTTAGTAGCTTTAACAGATCCTCCTTAGAGCTGCAGTCGCAGGCTTTCGTAACAATGCTCACGATCAGGACAATCCACTGATCTTCTATTTTTGACTGCTGTTTGAATAAATACTCCGTGGCTTGGAAACATCGACTAGATGTTAAGTGGAGGATTATTTCGTCAGAGGTTTTGGTTTCAAGGGCTTGAAGTTCCCCGAATCCTAACTTAAGCTTAGGCTGGTTTCTTGGAGTTCCGTCACCACCACGACCCAATGTTCCACCTCCTCTTTTACCTCCTCTTCTACCGCCTCTTCCACGGCCTCTTCCACCTCCCCTTCCACCTCCCTTTCCGCCTCTGCTTCCTCTTCCGCTTTGTCCTCGCCAGGCATCCATTGACAGCACCTCTGAAACAAGATAGAGATCAAGAAAGAATTAGATTATAAGAATTATCAATTGGTTGTGAAACGTAAAACTCCTTTACTCCGCTATATGAATAATTACTTAATTGATGACAAAAAAAAAAACTATTCTGATTTAGTCGCCGGGAACAGCATTTGTTTGCATCAAACAAACTTTTCCAATCAAAGTCCAGGACTCTATGCTGCTGAGAAACCTCTGGAATCACCTTCATTCGTCAACCAGTTGTTAATTTCAAAACACTTCCTACTCTCCGTTTGAAGGGAAACCTATGCTGCTGATCTACTGGGTTTGTTAGTGCAACCGAACCAGTTTAAAATGTTTTATGCATTAATTTCCGATGAACATTTATCTGGAGCTGAGGAATCAGATTTACGAAGCCTTCTAAACTAGAATCCAAACAAATTTGCACAAGCCAGGAGAGAATCTGATGAAAATTCTGTATTTTTCAACAAATGGTGAGACAGCGACGAATGCAAGGGCATCACCTCCTTTGCATGCATTGAGCTATTACTGGTATCAGTGTGTTATTGAATTCCACGGTATGCGAAAGTCGCAAGATATAGCATCTTCCATTTGAGTATTGAACGCTTAAAAAGGTCCAAAACATCATTTAAAAGGAATAGATGGGTATGTGTCATGTATCAATTCAATTCTCCGCAATTCCGAAACATTGCCACCAAGTATTTCAGTGTAGTACAAATCAGCACACACGAAGGATGTGTGTACGAAAAGACTTGTCCCTGGGACGATATTCCCATGAAATGTTTTAATGAAGAAACTGGTTACTGGGACACTGATTGGATCACGAGAACTTCTCTTAGGGACTTGTACTACTATATCAAGCTAATTCATTTCGACAGGGAGAGTAGCTTCAGAGACAAAACTTTCCCCGCAGCGACGAGAAATCTCTTCGACTACGATGCGAAGTTGAAATATCCTAGTCGTGGTGCAATGTTTCGTTAATAATCACTTACGAATTTCATTTTCAGTATAATAATCGGAGTTTAATAACTTCGAAAACTCCGTCTATTTGACTATCTAATACTGACCCACATCCACTCTCT